ATATAGCCATGGGAGCTCGGGTCCGGGCCCAAAACGACGGGAAAAACTCGGGAAAGTTTAGGGTTCTCGCCGGAAAAGGAAGGATTTGATCCGCGAAATTGGAAAGGATTTCCATAGAAAATTTTGGGTATTTCTTGGGGAAAAGTAAGAGGAGATTGAGACGATTCCATTCCCGCAACCAATTTGGAAATAGGAGCAACGGGGAGGTCGGATTTTGGAAGGGAATCGGCGGCACTGTGCACGGCACGGGAGACCACGGGCTCTGCCTGAGCTGGAAGATGAACAGTAGCGCAGGGAGGGAATGTAGACTTCTTGCCGGGCTTTTCTTTTCTCAGCCTGATTAGAAGAGGGAGATAAACCAGACTTTGGCTGATAGAAGAAGAGAGGATGCAGGCTCGGACTGGGCCGGCGGAAGAGAGAGGAAGGAAAGGAAGGAATGGGCCGAAAATGGCCCAAGCTGAGGAGGAGGATTTTATTACTTTTCCAATTAAAATAATCACTTAAATGATCTTTGAATTGTTAAAAATACTTCCAATGCTCAAATAATTTCAAGAAAAATCCTGAAAATACTTGGACACTCAAAGTACTTAACAAAATTATAATTAGACCATTTAATGATTAATTTAATATGTGGGTAATTACTGAAATGCTCTTTGTATGATTAAAAATTAGGAATTGAGCTCCGAAAAATCCGAGAGGATTTCAGAGAGTTGACTTAATCATGGAGAATTTAATAAAAATTAAATCCATCCATGCTTTATATTTAGGAAATTTTATTTCCCACATTTAACTTCACTTGTAAATTAAAGATCATTTAATATAAATTCCAATAATAATTTATTAAGTAATTTATAAATCCTGAAACGAAAATCAGGATGTGATATAGATCTACAGGGAGAAGGCGCCCTTGTGGTGAAGACAGCAGCCAAATCATCGGGGAGCTTCATCAGGATTGGCGGATAGGCCCCATCGTCTTGATCGGGCTGTGTTGGAGTAGATTGGATCTCGTCCAAGTGGTTTGAAGCCGACTCGGTGGAGATGATCTTGGGGTAGATCTCGGCCGAGTTCGGGATACCGAACGGGGCGAAGATCTGGCCTCTTCCCGACTGGTTCGAATCCGAGTCGATGAGAGAAATCTTGCCGAGGTCGTTGGTGATGAAGTCGAGGCTGCCGAACCGGAACGCCTGCCCGGGAGGGAAGACGAAGTTGTCGATGCCGGAAACAAAACCCATTGCACTAGTCGGCGAAGAACTTGATGCTACCCCTACCTGGCACGCCAACTGTCGAAACAAGATTTCGGCAAGACTAAAAGGGGTGGCTATCAAGCTGGAAAAGTGGATGGGTTTAGAGACAAGGAATTTTATACAGGTTCAGGCCTTTTTAATCAAGAAGTAATACCCTACTCCTGTCCGGGGATAGATCCGCCGAGTGTATTATTGATCATATGATCTGGGTGAAAAACGTGCCCCAAGAGGCACCCGGACCGCTCCTTATATAGGGGAAGGGGTCCGTATTACAAAATACAGTCCATATCCCTAACGGAATAGGTAGTTATAGATAAAATACAATCGTTACCGATTAGGATCGCGGGTATTTCCTTGACATTCAAGTTTAGAATTTAACCCGAGTCCTTTTAAAGATATTCTACCTATACATGGCACCCCATACCCAGTCGGATATACATATCATGTAGGTATGGGGTATCCATAATCTCCACAGTCCCTGCCAAACCCCACATCCAACGATGGAGAAATGGGTTCGGCCGAACCTGGGCTGGCCCAACCAGCCCACAATTTGGCTGGTGGCCTACTAGACTTCTCTTCTCCGCAGACTTATGAATTTTGGCCCAGTTTATCGTGTCAATTCTGAGTTCTTGGCCCATTCATGCATAAGTCTGATTCTCGACATCGTCCAATTGATTTATCATTGGTGCTGATGTCGATTCTCCTCTACTTTGTGATCATTCTCTGCAAAAGGTTAGTAAACCTAATACTAGTAGAATATTATTATTCTAACATATTTATGCATTGCAAGCATCACTAGTTCTCTCCTGTTAGTGATATTGACGGTCGAAACTGATCGATAACGACCGTCAACAGTAGGCATAGTATTTGGGTTGATTAAATGCCGTTGGATGTGATGGGGGGGTTAGGTCCCGATCTTCCGATAGGTATTGATAAACAACGATTTCGATGGAGTCGTGACACAACTCGATCCGGCTTCCGAACGAACACGCTACTGAGCCCGGCAATCGCAGCACCACGTCTCCTCTGGTTATCAACCGTGCCAAAACCCGGTTGACCTCGCCGAGAAGGCTAATCCCTGGATGCGAATCGAAGAACACAAGCAAGAACAGGATAGATTGCAACCAAATTGCATATGAATGATTAAGCACTCGAATTTGGGGTTCTACAAACCGATCTAGCGGCGAAACTGTTCTTGACAGAATAATCTAAGCAAAACCCGACTCTAAACGATGACGGCTACTGAATAAATGTGCTTAGGGACGTCATAGGGTTGCCCTAGGGCGCACACCCCCTTGAGCTAAGCCCATGACACAATTACAAGGCTCAAAACTCAAAATCAGATTCGGACTGGATGAGATACGTGGCTTGTTTTGCAGATTCCCGGCAGCTCGGTAGGAATTTTGACATGGGACCAAAACCATTTGAAAGTAGACTCCATAATCTTTCCAACAAGTACTCATGGGCCTCGAAATTCCTTCTAGATCAGTGGCTAGGTCCGTTTGAAGTTGATGCTGTCAGGAGGCCCGAATCCGAATCCAAAACGTGTACAACTTGATCTCTTGTCTTCTATGGACCAATAGTGACGTGGTGAGGTAGAAGTAGACTTGAAGAAGGTCTTGGTTTGGTCCCCAATCAACTTATTTAATCATCCATGCATTAGTTACGCTCGGTCTCTTTCCTTCGCCCAAGCAAGTACTTCTGCAAACGAAAACACACAAAACTCATTGTGTAGCAACGTTTATTCAAATATATAACAAGTAAACCTAATGTAGAACATATGCACCTTTATTTAATAAATACATAAGGTAGTCATGGTTATATCCGAGCTAGTTATGTCCTCATCAGGATGTGGGGTGCCCCATGGGTTGTAGAGGTAGGCAGCAGGTGGTGACAGCCCTATTCATCATTTGTAATCCTTCGCGTTTGGTATGATGTAAGAGTTTGTGAAATGCCGTAACCATGCTGTAGACCAGTAGGGAGCGGTCTCGGTAGTGCCTAGGTGCATAGTACCAAGTCCTAAGCTTCTATATGTATATGAATGTATGTGTAGACTAACCATCGTAAGTATAGAAGTACATAAGAAACCATGGCTCTCTTCTGTCCTCTTAATCTAGTTTATCTTAATCTAATTTATCTTTATAGAAATGATTCTTTTGTGTGTTATCATTTATCTCTGTTAGACTATGGTATATTAATCATAGGATTACGATTATAACGGTCCATTTTTTTACACCGCCGCTTTCCCTATAAAAAACAAATAACAATACTCTTGAATACTCATGGGTTGAATGCTACAGGGATATCCATCCACTTTAGGATTTATCTATAATCGTAACAAATACCAATCAGTATTGGAACTTCCGTGATGCCAGTAAAACAATTGTAACATACCCAAAATTCTAGACCTTAAAATTTTCATGTCAAAATAGTTGGAAGCTAACCTTTACATTTTTGAGAGCCAAAAATTTCCATTTTAAACCTAGGTGAAGTTGATCTAACTCTTGCATGAATAAAATTTGAGAACAAATTAAAACCTTTTCATTTATAACCTAGGACAAAATGTAAACGTCTGTGTAAGCATGCATACTCTCATATGCATATTCTCATAGCCATGTTTGACTTGAGTCCTTCATATGCATTTGGATTTTTTATTTGCATTTCATAATAGGTCTCATGAATATTAACGATAAACAACTAAACCATTAGGGCCTAGTGCTAGCTAGACGAAGTTAAAATAGGAACCATACACCTTAAAATATATCAACATGGCTAATGTCAAGCCTCACAAAACTAATTTGGTCATCCATTTGAAGACATGTCATGAACATGAAAGTGAACAAATAAATTAACCCATATAGGGTATATTCTATCTTAATCATCTCTATAAGCATCCTCTTAATTTAATATTAAAGTAAACTTATGCATAAATAGGTAAAGAGCTTATGACCTGTGTAAGGTAAACTGTAATTCTAACATATCAACATCAACATCACCTCAGGTTAAAAAGAGTCCAAATAAAACTTTTATAAGCATTTACATACATTTAGGAAAAGGGAAACACATATAAGAGATAAGTCTTGCTAATTTTCTAAAATAATTCGTGCAAGATAAAATCATGGGAAAATTTATGTAGGCTCTACTTAACATATACAACTCACTATAATTTTGGTACAATTTAATAACTAAATTTGATACCTTAAATAAACAAGTCAAACTTGTCAAATAATAGATTAAATATAGTTCTTAATCAGCTAAAACCATACATAACTAAAATGTGCATTTAACTGCATGAAAGTGTATAGGGGAAATAATTTATTAAAATACTAGGTCAATTATCATGAATAAATATATTTTTTCTAGAATTTATCCTCTTAGTTTAGGTCTTCTAAAAATTCAAACAAAGTTCTATTGAGCCCATCTTCCCCAATTTTCTATGAGCAATCTAAATTTTTAAGTGCAACAAAGAAAATGGAAACTAGCTACATTCATCTACCTTCAGAAAAACCCACACTAATTTATATGCTTCACACATTAAAATATTGAGATGTAAAGTTGGAGGGAGAGAATTAATATGAAAATCGTCCAAAATTCAATCAATACCCAGTTTCTTACCCATCCCTCAGACTCCCACCTAGCTTACATAGACCTGGGCCCACATGGCAGCCTCTTTGGCTTGAACCACACCCTGTGCATCCTCCATCCAACACAGTGACAGCCGAGAGAGAGACCGAGGGCGCCGACCTACACTGGACGGCGTCGATGCGTGGCCTCGACGTGGCAGCGCCGAACCAAGGCTTCACCTCCACCCAGCTGCATCGCCTCCTCCCCATTACCACTCCTGAGCCGAGCAAACCGAGGGGGAGAGCTCCGGCTTTTCTTTTCCATCTCGACCTTGCCGCCTGCCGTGAAGACGACGGCCGTCACCATCGCCATTGTGCAGCGGTCGTTTCCTCTTCTTTTGCGTTCCATTATCGCCTCTCCACGCCGATTCCATCCCTCTAAGTTTCATCCCATTTCATGCAGTGGTTTGGTGGGAACGCAAGCCTCGCCGACGATGCTCTGGAGCGCGCACTGGGCGCCGCCATCGGGACATCGTCTTCGTTGCCGTCGAACCGGAGGAAGCCGAGCCGAGCCACCGCACCATCAACATCTCCTCAGTGTCCTCTCTTAAATCCCTCATGAACCCCTGGCAGTGGTGCAGCGAGCTTGGAGATCGGCATCGTCTTCCCCAATTCCGGCCGTCAAGCTCCACCTTCGATTTCTCCCTCTCCGGTGAGTCACAGTTCAATTCCTCGGGCATGAAGCTTTCCTGAGACCTATTCAACACCGTGTGTATGCATGCATGGAAGATCATCAGCCATATCAAGCCGGCGTCGTCATTGCCCGAGGCTCCCCGCCGTCGCTGAGTCGTTCTGCTCGTGGTCATCGCTATCTGGACCTCGCCAAGTTTCATTGGACGCTCGGTAAGCATCCTAGGATCCCATAGAGGCACATGCATGTAGCTAAACATCTAGATCAATGCTCTAGCTCCACATGCACCGTCACCCGAGAACCACCGCCGCTCGCGCCGCCGTCGCCATTAATTCCGATGACCAATGCTTGCAAGAATACCACCTATAGCCTCGCCTTGAACCCCTTTACATTTTCTCCTTATGTTGCACACCGAGATCTGCCGCCGTTTGCCACCGGCGAGCTTGAGAACGAGCTCGGCCATGGCTAGCTCTGTCTGCTCAAACCAAGGACCTCTGTTGAGAAGAATCAAAACTCTAGGTACTAGTTTGTAAAACCTACCTCACACACAGAACAGTCACAGGACTGCGGGTTGATTTCCTGAAACCCTAGGGTCCTTTTTGCATATTGGCCTGAGACTGACCTGTGGACCCAATCTATTTAAATTCTGGAAAAATCTAAATGAAATGCCTAAAGCTTTATATTTTCAACAGAAAAACATGTAAACTTGTAAAATCTATAACAAATTGAAAACAACTCATTTTAGAGCAAACTTAGTTTCTACAGATCCACCAACATGTTCTTTAAAAACAAAGTAAAATAGAACATATACACACTTTACATCAAATATAATGCCTCTAAAACTATTATCTTTAAAATAACTAGTTTTACATAAGCTGAACTTTAGAAGTTTATATAAAATTCATCTTAGATCCTTTTTAGTATACCCAAGTTCTGTAGAATCACCAAAACATATACTTCCAAGTTATAAAATAAAAATATATGCTTACTGTACAATAAAAGCCTCTAAATATTTATGTAAGTAATAACCAACATAGAGCAGCCTTTAATTTGTAAAATTTGTAGAAAATTCATCTTTAGTCCAAATGGAGTGAACCAAGTTTTTATAGAACCAGCAAATGGTGAGCTTCAACATAGTAAAATAAAATATGGCACCTTCTGTATAGGTTATAGCTCTAAACTTTAAATCTATAGGATAGGTGCTAATCACATAGTAAGGATTAAGCAATACGTATATATAAATGTATATAGGAATACACTCTAACTATAATGAAACCCAACTAAAACTTGTTGAACCAGTGAAGGCATAAGATCCATCCCCTTCCTCCAAAACTTAGTACCCTTTACTCATATAATAATCTCTAGATTGATATATTAAGTTTCTAGCATAGAATATCCCCTAGCTTATAAAATGTGAAGTAAAGTAATTTGAACTCTAAAATTTATAAACTAAGATTAGATTAGTTAAATAAAAGACTTATATTATACATAACTAGCTAGATGAGGCAAGTTCTGGACCTAAACCTCTAAAGCCATGAACCTATAGAACACTATACACCTATAACACGTTATAACTTGTAAAATACATAAAGAATTCATATTAACTCTAAAAATTATGAAACCAAATGTGTTAGTCTTAGAAAACACATATCTTCACCTCAGCAAACATAAACTTAATAAGAATCATCTTACAACAGCATTTCACAAGCATTTCGCAATAGTACCTAAGTAAATCCTACACTATACCGACGAAACTTCTAAAATTCATAACTCTCAAATGAAATGAGATAAAATATAAATTATTTCACCTAAATTCATTTTATACCAGCACTTATCCACTGTGCACAAATCATGCATTTTAGAGCATTTTGGATTTTTCGCATATTTCGGTGTTTAATTGCATAACGTGTACTTTGTATAGATGATTGCTTAAACAGTGAATAAGTGATTTAGGTGCTGACATTTTCCTGATTCAAGGCAAGTTCCACCTCCCTCTCTTTGATCACTTTGAACCTATGTTTTGGAGGTTATTGAAAATGTTTCCAAATCTTGCATGTCGATTGTACACTAACAAATTAAAATTGTGTTAAACTTGTTAGACAAACTCCTATTATTTGCATTATCACCTTAACCCCACATATATCCATATCCATCATTCCTAACCTTAGGAACAATATGACTATACCACTTTATATATGAATTTTGGAGTCACTAGGTTACTATAATGCTTAGCCATGCTTAGAATGGTCTTCCTTGTCATTATGGGCTCATTACAAATATGAAAATTGATTTTGAAATAATCTGGACAGAACTTTAATACTTGTGTTTTTGATAAATAAAATGGTGGAAAACATGGAATTTAGGTTTGGGCCTCAAGTGGTGCACATATGGTGATTAGTTGTGTACCGATAGGGGGAGAGTGCGCCCAAACCGACGTACGGACTTCACTCAATGTCAGTTCATTTCGTATACAGTACAACCACATGTGCTAGTATGGGATAGCCCAAGCTTAGTAAATTATTTATGGTTTAGCCTTACATTCTGTTAGGCCGGTGTGTATGAGTTCGGATAACTCAGAGGAACTTCCTATTTACCCCGACGTGGTAGTTTAGATGACTAAGTCTGTCCAATACAACGGTATTGTGCCAAGTGGGTGAGTTCCCGTTGTGTCCGCCACCACGGCGTTAAGTTTAAGGCTTAGGCCCGCCACTTAACGGTTCTAGGTCATATAACGTGTATGGCTTAGGATGGAGTAACACGTATCGTGCTGGTGTAAGGCTAAATCATGAATTTTGGAAAAGCTTTGTTGCGGGTAATAAATCTGGTACTTATGTATCGCGTGCCATGCTCTTGCATGATTATTATTTCGCATCATGTGGGTAAAGTGTACAAACTCTACAGAGTTAAAACTAATCGATTAGCCGTGCTCGTGGTTATGAGCGGCGTGTGGATATGTATTGAGTATAGACTTGTATTTATTCTTCTAAATGCTAAAATTTACCTTCAAATTGTGATGAGATTTGAGAATGATCTCCTTGCTGCCATGGAAGGCAATGAGGTGTATATTTATACATGATTAATGCCTATTTGATGCCCATATGCTAAGTACTAGCTTGCTGAAATTTATTTGAAAGCAAATCTGATTTAGAAATGTTTTATGCAAATAAAACTTGCTTTATGCTAAAAAGAACCATACTATGCCTTCCTTGATTATATGCCTTGCAAGTAGGGTGTTAGGCTTGTCTTGGCACTTGCCAGTACATTATTTTTAATAATGTACTGACTCTTGCTGTTGAATTAACTTTTGCTTGCATGTTTTAGATTTAGTCTTTGAGTGATGCGGGTGATCGATTGCTTCTTCTAGGACTTGAACTTAATGGGGTAAACCCCTAGTCGGTGTGCTTGAGGATTGGGTAGTCAAGCTTCCCGCTATTCTATATCTTTATTTCGCCGGTCGGCCTATGTAACTATGAAGTAGTTGTGATTTAGATTATTTTCGTCTTAAGTGTATTTTGCTATGTATTTCCATGCTTAAGATGAAAGTGTGAATCTAGTGCACATCTTGGGAAGTAGATTCACATGAGTATGTGTTAAGAATATTTGAGATGTTGTAGATCTTTAGCCATTTTTGTCAAGTCTCCTGAATGTGTAACACATCTGGTCGCCGCCTTCGAGTGGTTTGACGGGCACATCTCAGGCTGAAGTTGACTGGCAGGCTAAAAGCCCAGCAATGTCTCCAATATTCTTCTCTCGAGGCGTCGAATGTTTCATTATGTTTCTTTGATGACTTGAATTATTCACTTCATCTCTCAAATATAATGGGAGGTCCGGAGAGCCTATGACAACAATCCAGCTTCATTCTGGACTGTCCAGTCCATAGGATTTAAAACTTTGTGGTAAATCTTGGAGATTGATCATAAATAGATGCACAAATTTCATTAGGGAGAATTCCTCATATATCTCAACCAAATATGATACACAAAAAATCACAAAGTTGTAGTCAATCGAGCATTCCTAGCTTTCAGATTTTGGAAACACAAAATGAGCTTCCAAAAGAGCATTGAGAAACAATAAAATTTCCTTTCAAAATTCCATGATTTTCTCAATAAAATTTCCTTTCAAAATTCCAAGATTTTGGATTTGTGAGTTGTGAGGAACATTTCACAAAATATTATTTGGAAAAAAAAAATTTTTTCTATCAAACTGAAAGCAAGAAATGTGGTTTACATGCTTTTTAAGACAAGAAGTTTCACTCAGAGACTCAAATCACATAGAAAACTAAACTTGATCTAGAGCTTACATGAGTTAAATACCAATTTAAGCCAATATTCATAATGAAGTTCAGCTCATTTAGCTAAACCCATCATATGCAACTTTGGGCCAAACATGGTGAAGGCAACATCTTAGAAATATGCATTTTCATTTTTAATTAAATACTTTTTTACTACAAGAGCTCTTTTACACTTTAAAGTATTTTGCTAACCTTTGGACTTTGGATTTTTGAGTTTTCACCAAATAGGCTCTTATGAAATGTTGTAAATTTAACCTTTTGGAATTTTAAAATTTTTGGAAGCATGAGATACATGAAAGTGCTTCAAAACACTTCCTCTTAGAGCCGTCAGTTTCAACACAATGACGTAACACTCTTACCATGTCTTTGGCTTAAAAGTTTAAGAGAGAATCCACTCTATGCCACTGAGTTTACTATAGTTCAATGATTTAGCATCGACTTTATCTACCATGTTAATTGTTTTCTACAGTGTGCCATTAGGGTGGATACTTTTTTTAAAAAAATCCCAAAATGCCCTTCAGGACTTACAAGAGGTTACAATTGATTGACCTACTAGATTTTCCGAAAAAATATGAAAATTTTTACATAACCTCCTTATGTAAATAATATATAGGTGTATGTATATTTCAAGAATTTCATTTTACATCTATTAAATTTATAAAAATATAATTTATGTTTTTTATGCTAATAAAATAGTCTTGTGTTTAAGTTCTTTTATTTACATCATGATTCACATGCTATACAATTTTTTTCCTGATACGGCTACCTGTACGTGAATACTCTTTCATACACTATGTAAAAATAGTTTTTAAGAAAAACATGAAAGAAAATCTTAGATACAAAATTATTTATTTTGTAAGAAGGTTAAGTACACAAAAAACTTTTATATTTTTTTCAAACTTCTAGTGATCAAACAATTATCAACTCTTGTATGACTTGAAGGGCATTTTAGGCATTTATTGACAATTATCCACCCAGCTGTGACATATTGTAAAAAGAAAGTGACAAAGTCAGTCGCATATTATAGAGGGAGACAAAGTCAATGACAAATCGTTGAAGTAGGGTAAGTGGCATAGAATTGATTCTCTCAAAGATTTAGATCAAACTTCCGCTTGCACTGGAACTTACAGTCTGCAAAAATCAGCACACGCCAAATTTGTAGATTTTGCTTCAAACCACCCAAACAAACGTTGAATTTTTTTTTTAAAAAAATCTGAATGACAGTATACAACAACAAGGGAATTAAATAAAACAAGAAAAGAGACCCCAAAGATGCAAGATTTCATCAAGTTCAAAGTGCTTGGAAAATACTAGGTGAAGAACAAAATTTTGAAAACTTCAAAATTGAAGGTGCTCGTGTGATGGATTTGCGTCTGGATCACCCTAGGCTTGCTCACACATGTCGTATCACCTATGTGATCTAATGAATTTAATTTGAAAAGCTTGAACTTTGATTCATGATGGCAACGGGATGCCCGATCTTCCGTCAGGTGAAGATAACTATCGATTTGGTGGAAACTTGACACACACGATCCGGCTTCCGATCAACACGACCCGAACCCTGCAATCGTAGCAGCACGTCTCCTCTGATTATCAACCGTGTTGAAGCTCGATCGACCTCGCCGAGAAGGCTAATCCCTGCGTGTGAATCGAAGAACACAAGCAAGAACAAGAAAAAGAGCAACTCAATTGTAGATGAATGATTATCAAGGATTCGAAGTTGGGGTTTCACAAACCGATCTAGCGGCGAAACTGCGAAGGCATAAATAATCTAAGCAAAACCCAATCCTAACATAATGATAGCTACTGAATATATAGGATTTAGGGTCGACATTAGACCCGTGGACGCGACACTATTAGACTTCGACTCGATACATGGCCCAACGGGCCCAAAGACGGTGACGCAACACCGGGCAGATTCTGAACGCCTTCTTGTTTTGAAAATTCCTGTTGACTCAGAAGGAATTTTGATGTGGGACTATATCCATTCGAAAGATGATCTCGTTAGCTTTCCATGCATATATAGAACGTCAAAATTGGAATCCGAATGCAACCTAGGCGACGAATTTAATGTGGACTGCTATGAAGCCCGAAGTGGACTCGAACTTGATGAGTTAGATCTCCATCTTGACTTGATCCATCTCCTAGCCTCTCTCTCCAAGTGTTCCCTGGTCCTCTCCATAATTCTTAATTATTACTAAATCAATATAGTAATCTATCCTCAAGAGCACGTAAAGAAGTACTTAGGAACGATATAATGCTACTCCTCAATTCATTTCTCGAATAAGAGTAAAAGCTTGAATTTTCTAATAAATTCCTCAAAAAGTGCAATCAAATTATATTTATTAATTAAAAAGTTATTATTAAATCTCTCGAAAGTACAATTAATTAAAACTTCAAACTTATTGTAACTTGGTATTTACGAATTCTGAAATTCAGAATTAATAAATTGTCATAAACGTATAAACGAGACTCCAGACGTAGTACATGCATGCATGCATGCGTAGTATAACTTGGTACGTATTTTACGAATTTTGATTTTTAGAAAAATATAAATCATCGAAAACTATAATTTAGACTCCAAACCAAGTATAAGAATTTCTAATTCTAGAATTATCAAATCATGATGAAGAAAAATAATTAAAACTCCAAACGGAATACAACTGATATAATAAATCCATATATTTTATGGTGCGCAAGATGTCGTCCATACAACTGATAGATGGAGCTCTTAAAAGATAGTGACAAATGAACACACAGTTTTATCTTTTTTCTTCCTAATTAACGTAGAATTACTAGATTTTTTATTAATGT